TATACATTTATTGAGCATTTATTTATTTCTGTATTTATTTTTAAATATGGCAGAGTTGGTCCTTCATACAAATCAGTCAAAGTGAAGTGCGAGTAAGGTTACAGAGGCTGACAGAGAGCTTTCCACAAGAAGGAAGTTTGGCCAGATGCTGCCGCAGTCTTTATGTGTGCCGATAACAGGTTTTGTTTGACAACTCCTGGAAAGAGAAGGAACCTGCATTAAATTTTTTCCTACGAGTCCCGTTTCTGCAGCTGGAGGAGGGACAGGCTGGTTGCTGTGTTCAGATTGACTGACTGTCTTCAGAATCCATAGCTGCACAGCAGCTATAATACTTTCAGTAGGAGGTCAGCACCCATGCACTTAGGCGTTCACCTTTTGCCACTTGTTTTTTCAGGAAGTAGGCGCGCCTAAAATCAGTGACGCATTGTGACTGACTGGACAAAGAAAACAAAACAAACAACATTTTTTAACTACTTTGTTTGATCCCTGACCGGTATTCAAACTATAATCAGCCTTTATAATTAAGAGAGTTGAATTGAACAGAAAGCAACAGATTAAGTTCACTTATAGACAAACATACTGTTATAACTTGTGCATGCATAAAGAGCACTATTTTTCTCTCCACAGATTTACCCGTTACCAGTACCAGCTTGTGGTTTATAACGATGTGGGCTTCACTTCAGGAGATATTGTTACTGCAATGACATTGGCAGGGGCTCCTCTCAAACCTCCTACTCTGTCTGCTCATGCTATCAATCACACAGCTGTACAAGTCAACTGGAATAAACCTTGTAAGATTACCCTCTCTGTTCACAACACACCAAACACAAGCATTATATCCATCAGATAATTGAGCTCTCACTATATTGTAGAAAACCAGCTGACAAACGCAACTTAGTTTTTCTTCCAAGTTATTCTTGGAATCTTATTTTCACAAAATGATCTGGTTGACTTATGTGTAAACCATTAAACATTTCTGAGCTTCCAGACATGAAAGGTGAGAAAAATGTTTGTTTTAAATCCCCATCAAATTTAAAATAAAAAAAGTACAGTAACTGTTAAGTCCGCTGTTTTTGTTCATGCCAACACATGCCTGTTCAGGGTGGTAAGGGCTACGTTAGCGTACATGGACAAACATGCTATTTTATAGCTTTTTATTACTGACAGAAACACTGTGGAGGACAGCTAAAATGTTATCCACTCTAAGAGCAGGTTTCAGTTATTTCTCAGCCACTTTACCTGGGTTTGGGCCACTATGTGGGAAGTGGCTTGTTGTATATATCAAAACCAGACTGAGCTTTGATAGGGGCTGAAATATCCTTAAAATACTCAGCACAAGCGTGCGCTTACGTCTATATATATATATATATATATATATATATATATATATATATATATATATATATATATATATATATATATATTCAACCCTGATCCGATTGGAGCTTGCCCATTTTTTACCAAAAAATTTAGAACACTGTATAAAAAATGTCTAAAAGACTTGATGCTGGTGATAGGTTGTGATCAGCATTATACATTATTTGGCTTTACACTAACTTTATCAACCTAGTTTGTCTTTTTCTGACCAGTGAGGGTCAAAAGTACCCAGTCATTGTTAAGTAAATCTAAGGGGTATTTTATCTATATTAATTTTCAATATAAACTACAAACTAATAACTGCTGATAGAGCATATGAATCATTGTCTTTAGTGTAATTCGTATTTTACTTTCTGTAGGAAATATTATTATCTTATAATATTATCTTATTTTTCCTTGAACACTTTTATAGTAAAATGTTTTGATAATTTCTTTACTAAAGAAATACCTACAATTAAGCTGGAGATGGAAAAAAATATTTAATGTAACTAATGACTCACCTTTACTTTTTTCTTGTATTTTTTAGCTTTGCATGACCTGCAGGGAGAAGTGGAATCATTCTTCCTCTCAATAAACTCCTCTGAGTCCAGTCCATTGATGTGTTATGGACCTGAGGTCAAGTCAGCTGTGATAGGAAACCTTTGGCCCAGGACAACCTATTTGATATCGCTGCAGGTGTTCAATGGTGCACATAACACAACTAAAGCATTGGTTGACGTCACGACAGCTGATGGAGGTAGGAGAAAAATAAAACTATAAACATGTGCTAATTTAAAACTTAAACTCGTCATCCTCTGCTTCTTCTGGGACCATGGTTGCAGGAGCAGCAGTCTCAGCAGAGCTCCCTCCCCCCAGACACCTCCTCCACTTTGGCGTTCCCGAGCCACTCGAGAAACAAAGCCCCAGTTGTGACTTTATTTAATCAATTATCTTTTGGACTGTGTCAACAGTCCGCTGTGTTTTAGGACAACAAATGAGTGTGATTCAAGCTGAAACCATGACCTAACAGTGAACTCTGCAGACATATGAAATTATTTCACAATGACTTCCATAAAGAAATAAAAAAATCATTCAACTCAAGCTCAAACATATTTCACTACACCTTCAGTCCAGCAAGTGATGTTGATAATTAGAGACAACTTGATTTTCCCTGCAGCTCCACTACCTACCAGCTATAATTATGTCCCAAAGCGTATAAAGTTTAAATAATTGTTTGACAATATATATTTTTTTTTTTCAATCAACCAGACAAATGTTGCTTTATAACTGCATGATTACTTTATAATTACTACTAACAATGTATCTCCACAGTTTAGGGCATAAACAAAAAAGTCAACTTGGCAGCAATGCAACTGAATTATGATTAGATGACACACATTTGGACAACTTGAAAGTTGCCAGCTCACCCGCCCGCAGGTGTGAGCCAGCATGGCGGTGGCTTGCAGAACTGGGCTTAGTAGAGCACACTGTATAGTTAGCAATAAAAGCTGGATTAGACCTACCTGATATAACCAAGGCCAAAGAACGAGGCATTTACTTCAACTTCTACTGTTACTTACACGAGATGGAAAAATTACAACTCGTGAATGCCCTACCACAATTATTGTTTTGTTTGCAATATAATATTAAGCAGGTGCAGTTTATATGTTCAGCACAAATAGACATTTTTTTTTCAAAATGTTATTAGATGTTGTAGGCATTGTTGACGGTGGAAGGATTATAAACTGATTCCCAGATGCTGAGAGACACCATCCAACTCGCGATCTCTCATCTTCCCATGCTATCACCAAAAAAAAATATCACTTCATTAAATTACATGAAAAGTACTGTGCTATAGTTATATGTTCACTTCCCTTTTGTTAACTTTTAACTGTCATCTCTGTCTTTTTTTACCTATTACAATTCCTTTCCAGTCTAAGTATATCATATGTCAGAGGCTGCTTTCTTTATCTTTAATCTATGCTGTATAATAAAAAGTGCATTAAAAACATTAGAACATCGTTAGGTGCCAAAGGCAAAGCATGGCTCATTTACCTGAGGTAATTGAGGCAATTTCATTATTTTACAGCTATAACATGTGCACACACGTACACCTAAGAGGCATAATATATTTCAAGTAATGTAGCTCAACCCTACCAACCATCCTAACCTGGCCTGCAATCTATAGGGCAATGCTAACATCAGGGCTAATTAGTAAGAGAAATACATGCATGTGTTTGTGTGTGCAGAGCAGGAATCTCAGTGTTCAGCATTGCACAGATAATGCCAGTCTGCAATAAAATTTGATATAGGGCAGTGAGTAGGGTAAAAGTAAGATTTCTACAAATCATTGCAGAATAAAAGACAACTTTTTTAACCACAAACATTTTTATACATTCTTCTTTTAACTGAATGAAGAAATGTGAACTTCGGTGCCTAGTATTTTTACAACTTGTGAATCGTTTTTTTTTTTTTTTTTTTTTGATAAAACAATAAAAAAAATTGTCAAATTGAGGGAAAATTGATGGTTTCTGAAGTATTTTTCAAATATTAATAAGTGCTATTAATCTTTTCTAAGTAAACACTTAATCAACCCTTGACTACAACATGTAGAGACTTAGATTTGTTTCCCTTTCTTTAAGTCTTGCCACAGTTTCTCAAAATAATTTAGTTCTGGACTTTGATTTAGCCATTCTTACCTAATAAATATTGTTTCAACCATTAAATTTTACTTCTGGCTCTGTTGTTAGGGTCCTTGTGCTGCTGGAAGATTAATCTGTCAAAACCTGTCAATAATGTTCTTCATTTTATGAGGAATTCTTCTTTGTGAAATCCTTTTAGAGGTTCCAGAGGTCCCAGAACAGAGCTGGCTTCCTTTATCAGCTTGTGGAGCTTCTTAAAGTAAATTGCCCTGATCGTTTTACCCCATCAGATGATGGAAGAAGAGATCACACTTTCCATAACTTACAGAAGATGTGCAGAAAATACTAAAGGATATGAGCTTCCTTAAGAAGTACACTCTGCTCTGTCCCTTCTTGTAAATGGCTTTACAGTCCTGTCTCTAGTAGAGTCAGTTGCCCAGGTAAACACCAGTATATGTATACTCTTTAACAACCTCCAGTTCTTCTTTTGCGATGGTAAAGACATTCAGTTTGTTCCCATTTCTTCTGAAATCTGCAATCATCTCCTTTATT